TTCCAAGTACGGGCAAACCGCAGTCATGAGAGTTTCCGCAGTATTGAAATCTCAGCACTGATTGCTTTAGACATGGAAAAGTTCTTCTCCGGGCAAGAGAAACACAAGAAACAAATTTCAGTGGGGTAGACTGAGAAACATATGATTTTCATTTATTGAAATCTTTTACCAGAACATACATTGTATACAGCCTACTTTTAGTCGTCGGTGTACCAATTTGAAATTTTGTTTCTCGAGTGTACATAATATGGGTGAAATGACAGTGTTAATATTGTTTTTTTTTTAGCAGAGCGCTGCACTATTGCGATGACAAAGGTTAAAATAACTGCTCTGATGTTAAAGGTAAAAGGTAAAGTCTGCGTACAAGCCAAGTGGCCCACCAGGCAAGAGCTTATCCCAGTTTCCAACGCATGACGCGACTAAGAGTATTTCTACCACCCCCTGGATGGGATGCTAGTCCATACCAAGGTTATCCCCAGCATTCAATTTGCCGGTACCCATTTATACTCCTGGGTGGAGAGAGGCACTGTGAGAGTTAAGTGTCTTTCCCAAGAACTCAACACAATGTCTCCGGCCACAGGAGTCGAAGCTAACCATGAGGCCACCACGCCTTCACATTAGACATTAAAGGATGTAGTATAATTGGCGACCTGCAATAGAGCAGGTTTTACTTGGGTGTTTAAATGGTTACGCATTGCTACATGATCAGTTTAAAAAGGTTTACATGATCAGTTTAAAAAGGATAAGGAGAACAATGCAACAAGTCATTTTGGCAAAGATAATTACTGGAAGTGGTGTTACTTTAGATGAAATATAAGGTTAGACAATGGTAAATCGAAACTTAACAATTCATGTAAAAACTTGGTGCAAGGAAATCAGCTTTTTAGTTTGCAGGCTGCAACTAGGATGTACTACACAACAGTCAAACTGTACTTACACAACAGTCAAACTTTTCTCCCACGTTAAACAATCAATAAATTAAAAATTGAAATGATTATTTGTTCTCTTACAGTACTTCAGTCGTTTAAAAAAAACTTACCGTAAATCTTCGAATTAGCGCCTCCCCTTGAATAAG